TGGGGGGGGGGGGGGGAACGATCGGCTGTCCGCGAGGACGTTTTATCAAGGTTTACAAGCGAAGAAATGCCTTAGCAATATAGGCTAAATCTCAGTGGCGGACTCGGCTGGAAGGTTAATCGTTTCGCAGTCGTTGCTAATGCTACAATTCTAAACAGAATAGTAACTCGTGAAATTCGTAGGAACTTATGAGCAGATCTACAATTCTGTGCGTACTATATATTATATGATCACTTGTAAATATAATAAACATATGGTAGGTAGAATTGATGAAATTGTAGATCTACTCATAAGTTCTCACGAATTTTACAAGAGAGCAAGTTATGAATCTTACAATTCTGTTTAGAATAGCAGTATAAGAGACGACTGTCTCACAGGTAAAATGCACTCACGTTGCGAGATAGAAATTTATTAGTTGAAATTAAAGAGCATAAATTCGAGTAGCTAAGAAAGTGGCAGCTATTTCTGAATATTTTATGCAAGTGAATCTCGAGCACTCGACTCGAGCAAGGAATTAACCGTATAAAGTATAAAATTATTTGCGACGTTGACATGTGCTTTGTTCAATTCTAATGTAAAATCAAGGAAAAAACGTTGCAACTTTGGGTTTCTCAATTATAACCGTATGAGTGAGGCTGAAAGTAGCATCAAAGTTTCAACTCGTATTTGGCCTTATGTTAAACCTTGAATTCTATAACGCAGTAGAAGCAAAATTAGCAAAGTAAGTGTAATTCTAATGATACAATTTATTCTTACTTTGACTCTGAAGATGTTCAAAACTTCTCTTTTCATTTTCTTTAGCGTCAAAATAGGTGTTGAATGAATTAGTGAGGTTGAAAGTGGAATTAAAATTTCGACTCGGGTAGGTTAAATAGAATGAAAAAAAGGTTGATATTTCAGAATATCAGAATAAGTGTTGAATGGAATAGTGAGACTGAAAATAAGATAAAAATTTCGACTCTCTTTCAGACAGGATCCCATAATTATTTCAGATAATCGGACTTGATTCCAATCAGAGATCCCAAGAAATCTTTGACGCGAAGGTCGATAAGAGATCACTGTCTCCTGAAATCGATCGTATCGCCCTGCGCACCTACCTTCGTCCTTTTCGTTGTCGTCCTCGAGGTCCTCCGATAAATTATCGTCCTCCTCCTCGTCGTCTTGAGAACGATGCGACGCTCCGGCCTCGCTTCCGGAGTGCTCGCCCACGCTTCCGCTTCCCGCTGTTTTTGACAGATTTAGAACCGGGCTGTGGCCGTTGGAGGAGCCTGCAAAAACCGCGATATCGCGACGGCTTTAATAAAGGGTGCAATTCATCGCGTTTAATGCGAGATGCATTCATAATCTTCCCCTCTATACGCGACACATGCATACACACACATAAATATACGTGAGGAAGGGATATCGATGCTGGATTCGAGTCGTGCCCGCGTCCATATATCTACTCGATACACGATAACGCCGCGAGAACGGCGTCAATCTTTCCCGAGGAACGTTCGGTTACGAAGAACGAGAAGCGCGTCCATCGACCGGACTGACAAGTTGATGGATTTTATTTGCCTCCGCGCATCCCCGTTTAGACGAGAACAAGCGGACTATCCACTTTCCGAATCCTCCCGGCGGCCTGCTCTCTCTCTCTCTCTCTCTCTCTCTCTCTCTCTCTCTCTCTCTCTCTC